AGTCCCACATCGGGCTCCCTGCTCGGGGAGGAGCCTGCTTCTCGCTCTCCCACTCCCCCTGCTTGTGTTCCTGCTCTCGCTCTCTCTCTCTCTCTGTCAAATAAATAAATAAATAAATCTTAAAAAAAAAAAGATTTTATTTTTAAGTCATCTCTACATCCAACATGGGGCTCGAACTCCTAACCCCGAGATCAAGACTCTCATGCGCTGACTGAGCCAGCCAGGCGTCCCTGGGGTTGAGGCATTTTAAGATCTGCTAACATAGTCATGAGTGTCTGTATATCGGTGTTTTGTATTTTTTCATTTTTTCATGTGTGGATCTTTAGAAATTAATAGGTTCTTTTAGAGCAGTTTTAGTTGTTTATTTTATTTTTTCCGACTTGAGAGAGAGTGGCAGGGAGAGGGAGATGAGTCCCTCATGCAGACTCCCTGCTGAACGTGGAGCCGGACGCAGGGCTCTATCCCACGACCCTGAGACCATGACCTGAGTTGAAACCAAGGATCAGATGCTTAACCAACTGAGCTACCTAAGCATCCCAAGAGCAGTTTTAGATTTATAGAACATTGAGCAGGTAGTTCAATTCCCTACCCACCCCACCCAATTTCTGCTATAACACTGTATGTTAGTGTGGTACGCTTGTTTTAATTGATGAGCCAATCTTGATGTGTTACGAATTAGAGCCTGTGATTTACATGAAGATTTCCCCTCTGTGTTTTACAGTTTTTTGGTTTCTGATAAAGGCTTAATGTTACACATTCATAATATATTATCATATAAAAGAGTTTCAATTCCCTAAAAATCCCCTACGCTTTACTTCCCCTCTCCTCCCTGAGCCTCTAGCAACCAGCAGCCTTTTTCTGTCTCTGTAGTTTTGCATTTTCCAGAATGTCAGATAGTTGGACTCTTAACAGCATTTAATTTCTTCAGACCAGTTTCTTTTACTTAACAGTATATGTTTGTGGTTTCCCCATGTCTTTTCATAGCCCCATGGCTCATTGGCTTGTTTCTTTTGACTGCCAAATAATACTCCATTGTCTGGATGGACCACAGTTTATCCATTTACCTACTGAAGGCCGTCTTGGTGCCTTCCCTGTGTGTGTGTGTGTGTATCTAACTTCATCCAGTATCTCTTGACACTTTGGAAAGCATCCTTCAAAATGGCTTTCTGGTTTGGTTGCCAAGTAGGTCATTAATTGAATTCTAAGGCCCGAAGAAAATTTTGACAAAGGAGCACCCCTCTTGGAGGGCCTGGCTGGCTCAGTTGGTGGAGCATGCAACTTTTTTTTGTTGTTTTTAAGATTTTATTTATTTATCAGAGAGAGTGAGCATGAGCAGGGGAGAGGGACAGAGGGAGAGGGAGAAGCAGACTCCCTGCTGAGCAGGGAGGATGTGGAACTCCATTCCAGGACCCTGAGATCATGACCTGAGCCAAAGGCAGACGCTTAACTGACTGAGCCACCCAGGTGTCCCCAGAGCATGCAACTCTTGATCTCAGGGTTAAGTTCAAGCCCCGTGTTGGGTGTGGAGATTACTTAAAACAAACAAAAAAACCACCCCTGTTGCCTACCAGGCCTCCTCCCCAAATGAGATTGCTGTGTATCCCTGGGAAATACCCCCTTCTCTTCCTTCCTCAGTTCTTATCGTGGGGTCTGTGTGTCCCCATCTTCTTTCAAGCTGTGGCCCTTTCTGAAGCACAGAAACATCTGGGCCCAGCACCCACTGTCACTCAGGTGGGAACTAGTCCCCCTGAGTGGCTGGTGTCTCGCCCCCTGGGCGACAGAGACACCAGACAGATGTGTCAGTTTAGGGAACAACGGGGACCTTGGTGGTTTGGACTCGGGGCCCCGGGGCCGGCTCACCCCCTCTCCCCATCAGTCCCACCAGCAGTACCCCCCGTCGCACGCCACATCCCTGCCCAAGAAGGCCTACTCCAAGATGGACAGCAAAGGCTACGGCCTGTACGAAGACTACGAGAACGAGCAGTACGGGGAGTACGAAGGCGACGAGGAGGAGGACCTAGGAAAGGAGGACTATGACGACTTCACCAAAGAGCTGAACCAGTACCGGCGTGCCAAGGAGGGCAGCAGCCGGGGCCGAGGTGAGGCCCTGCCACTGCCCAGGGGCACGGGAGCAGACGGGTGGGGGGTGGCCGGGCCAACGCAGCACGGAGCTGAACGGACCCCTCGGCCTGGGGCTGCGGAGCCCTGCGTGTGGCAGAAGAGACAGGCGTCATTCGGTGCTGAGAGGAGTCGGAGTCCAGAGAAGGAGGGCAGGAACTCAGGGCTGGGGGCGTTGGAGTGAGCCACCTGGCGAGAGGCTCCAGTGCCCGGCCAAGCTTGGGATGGAGCCAGGTTGGGAGGAGGCGGGGAGAAGCTCGCGTGGCCAAAGGCTGTTTTCTTCATCCACTTCCTGGTCAGCTGTGAGGAGAAAGAGAAGAGACGGCTTCTTTCAGACCTAGGCCAGGATAACTGACAGCTGGCTGCCCCGGCCTCCTCCCCCATCCTCCCACCTCCTATCACGCGACAAGGTGGGACTGCCACACCTCTGAACCTTGAACCTGTGGCAATTAGGAGGATATGGTGGGGGAGGGCAGAGCCCCAGAGACCCAGCCTGGCCTCTTAGAACCATCTCCTGCCTGCAAGGTTTTGCAGCCCATGAGGGAGGAGGGCTCCCAGGATTTTCTAGCTCCGCGGTTCTTAGCCCTGCCAAAGGCCCAGCTTACTGTTTGACTGGCTGTTCATTTAGTCTTTCTTGGGCAATCTTTCCTGGACGCCTCCTTGGATAAGCCATGCTCTTTGGGGAGATTCTAGACCAGTGCTGTCCAGTAGAAATCTAATGCAAGCCACAACATAATTTAGAATTTTCTAGTAGTCAAGTTAAACAAGTAAAAGGGGGGTAAAAAGGAAAAGGAAACAGGAGATTGATTTTAACAGTATATTTTATCTAATACATTCAAAATCTTATTTTAACATGTTATCCAAACAGACATAGTATTTTATATTCTCTTAATTTTTTTTTTTTTTTTAATGCAGAAAGGTGGTTTAATTAAAGCACAGGGACAGGACCTGTGGGCAGGAAGCTGCCTCTTTTTTTCTTTTATTTTTTTTTGAAGATTTTATTTATTTGACAGAGAAGAGAGAGAGAGCACAAGCAGGGAGAGCAACAGAGGAAGAGGGAGAAGCAGGCTTCCCGCTGAGCAAGGAGCCCTACATGGGGCTCAATCCCAAGACCCTGGGATCATGACCTGAGACGAAGGCAGATGCTTAACCAACTGAGCCACCCAGGCGCCTTCTCTTTCTCGTTTTCAACTAAGTGCTGTAAATCCAGTGTGTGGTTCACCCTCACAACATCTCGTAGTCTGGTCATGGCCACATGTGGCTGGTGGCCACTGTATTGGACAGTGAGTGCAGCTTTCAGTGGACAGGTGCCCCTGTGGCAGTGGAGTAGGTGTGCGTCCAGGATGCTGAGGCCTGAGGCCCCCATTGAGGGCACGTGGATGAGGCAAGGGGGCGACGGGACCAGCTGCCTGGAGCTGGTAGGAAGGCTTGAGGGGGAGATGACTGACCTCAGGGGCAGAAAATGGGCTGACTTCTCTCTTGCTGGTGGGATCTGCTCCCACTCGGGGTGCTCACCGCCTGAATCACCCTGCAGGCAGCCGAGGCCGTGGCAGGGGCTACCGGGGTCGAGGCAGCCGCGGAGGGTCTCGAGGCCGAGGCATGGGCAGGGGCAGCCGCGGAAGGGGCAGAGGCTCCGTGGGAGATCACCCGGAGGACGAAGAAGATTTCTATGAAGAGGAGATGGAAGTAAGCTCTCCTCCGGCCCTGGAGGGGAGGGGGGGAGGCGGGCTGATGGGCGCTCTTGGGGGCGGCCTATGAAACTGGTGGAAGGAGAGTGTTTCATGGCAGGACTGTGTTTCAGCATTCATTTCTTATTTCGGAATAGAGGAAACCTTCATATAGTTCCAAATTGAAAAGGTACCAAAGCTGTGAAAACACCTCCCGTTCTTAGAAACAAGTTTCCTGAATGTCTAATAGAAAAGTTTTAGACCTTTGCAATCAGGTGCTTGTTTATTCACGCCCCCTAACACACACACACACACACACACACTTGTTTATTCACGCCCCCTAACACACACACACACTTGTTTATTCACGCCCCCTAACACACACACACACACACACACACACCCCACACCTTCCACACTCATTGTTGTGTCCCAGCCCGAGACCTTTCCATGCCAGTACACAGTGAGCCTGCCCTTTGTTATAGCCACACAGCTGTCCATTGTGTAGGAGGCCCCCTGTCGGATTTGCCCCAGGAATTGGGAGTTGTGGGAGTGAAGACCGTCAGGGAGAGGATTAGAACCACCCCCCTCCTGCTTTGGCTGTGGTCTGTGAAGAGGGGGCACAGGCGGGTGGCCCCAGGTTGCTCACCTGCCCTTTTGAGTCTCCTGTTGACCTGCAGAAACAAAAAGGCATGTAGGGGCAGAGAGTACAGTTAGGGACAGTGTTAATTGTTCCCCGTATGAGATTTGCCTTCTCTCCTTTTTTTTTTTTAATTTAATTTTTTTACCTTCTCTCCTTCTGGAATCCCAGTATGGAGAAAGTGAGGAGCCAATGGGAGATGAGGACTATGATGAATATTCCAAGGAGCTGAACCAGTACCGCCGGTCCAAGGATGGCCGAGGACGAGGTGGGCAGGGGGCCCAGGAGGTGACGAGTTGTGGGGGGTACCCTCCTTCCAGCAGCTGCTGGATTTGGGTCCTGGGGAGAAGCAGCAGGTGAATGCCATCTCTCTCCTCTGCAGGGTTAAGTCGAGGCCGTGGCCGGGGTTCCCGAGGTCGAGGGAAAGGGATGGGCCGGGGTCGCGGGCGAGGTGGCAGCCGAGGAGGAATGAACAAGGGCGGAATGAACGATGACGAAGACTTCTATGATGAGGACATGGGCGTGAGTTGACTCTTCATTTGGATCTAATGTTTAGCCAAGGCCCCCTTCTTGGATTTGTTTTTTTGCCTCGAATGAGTTGGCCTCAGAGGCTAGTCCTGTCCTCCTGCTTCCATCAGCTGTTCTCCATGGGCTGATGAGTACTACTCATCTCTTATGGGGAGGGAGCTGTGCTGCCTGTGAGACCCTGTTTTTAAAACCACATCTATGTAGCACCTGAGTCTCTGCGGTGGGGAAGGTTCCAGGTGACCCAGGTAGCCTGGAGAGTTTTATAGCAAGACACGCATACTGCGTCTAGGAGGTGAATGTGTTCCCGCACCGGTGTGTGGTGCTCTTCAGGTGCCAGCACTCCATACCACGGGGCCCAGACCCCGCATAGCCTCAGTGGTGGAGGTAACCTGCTGTTCGCTGCTCCTGTTACGTGAAGACGCTTCTGTCGAGGGAATGCTCATCCCCACCAGCCACCTTCTTTTCCTGTCAATCCCTTAGAACCTGTCTCTACCAGTCTGCATCGTTCCCCCCCCCAGCCCTTCCTTTTCATCCCCCTTTACGCTGACACTCTGTGTTCCTGACAGGACGGTGGCGGGAGCTACCGGAGGAGTGACCATGACAAGCCCCACCAGCAGTCTGACAAGAAAGGCAAAGTCATCTGCAAATACTTCGTGGAGGGGCGGTGTACATGGGTAAGGGGCCAGTTAAAGTACCTGGGTGCTGGAGCACGGCAGCAACCTCACAGAGGATGCTCGGGCCTCTGGGAATGTTCTAGAGACCACGCTAATTGGGGACAGTGGTCAGGTAAGGGTGGAAGTGATTGACTACCAAGAGATGGTTGGGAAGACTCTGGTCTTTTCTCAGACTGAGGAGCCAGAGCATGATGACACGTCTGGGTGGTTTTTTGATGTTTTTGTTGGTTTGGGGGGCCAAAATTATCAGCCAGTTCAAATGGCCTCAAATGTATTAAGATCGATACTGATACCAAAGATGTAATATGTCTTGGTTAAATTATTGAACTTTAATGTCGGAGAGGGAATTATTAAGCTATCCGGATAGTAGAGGTGGGAGAACCAGACCAGCCTTGAATTTCACAGCAGAGTTCAATACCAGAAGCTGGGCCGATGACCACAGAGTTCTGAGGGCATAACCTGGTGGGAGTTCAGCCAGCCAGCTTTTTATTCAAGTACGATGGCAGTGGACAGATCCTGGCACACACATGCCCAGGGAATACTGCACCCGGGTATAGACTTTAGAAGAAAACACGTATGTGAAACAAACGTATGCATATATAAGATGCTCCTCGTTATAGTCGCAATTCGTGTTATTTTAAGAAGTTTGTAATACATCTGAAGACGGATGAGTAGCCGTTCCTGGGAGTAAGGGGAACAGCTATGCAGAACAGTTTCTATATTGTTCACCGGGGTTTGTGTCCTCTGAGTGTGTCTGACTTTGGATGATAGAAAATTGAGCTCCGCTAGTGTAAACACTCAGATGTTGTTCTTCTGAAGGAGGTTGGTGCCCTGGTCACTGGCACTCTGGGGAACTTCCTACTTTAAGAATGTCCGCCGTCTTTGAGCGCGTGTCGTTTGTCCTCATGGTTCCATAGTGGCTGCTGTGCCTCTGGGCGTCCCATCTAAGGGCTAAGAGGAAGGATGGGTGAAGGGATTTTTTCTTTTAGTTGAGGCAGCATTGTCCTCCCTTGGGGACTTTGGCCTACATTTCATTGGCCAGGACTTCCTGGGAGGCTGGGGAATGTACCTGTCCAGCTGGGCACATTCTTCCCAAACAAAATGGATGTTGTGTTAGGAAGAAAGAAGCATGGGGCTGGATACTGGCCACCATGCGGCACATGGTGAAAAATAGTGGGTGAGAGGAGGGAGAAGGGGGAGAGTAAGAGAGAAGTGCTCAGGGGCAGTGAGTGGAGCCTGGAGGAATGGGGTTGTGGGCAGGGGAGGCAGGGCCCAAGAGAAGGGAGCGCACACCCTGTCAGAATTTTTCAGTTGGTGGGAAACTATGTCATTGAGCCCCGCCCTTCCCTGTGGGGTATTCGTCTGTCATTGCTCCTCTGTGCTTCAACCAGGACAGAGTAGTACCTCCCATTGCAGGTGGGCGTCCGGGAGGGCTTACTGGGCCCCACCCCCTTACCTTTTCCTTGCTTCTTTTCCAGGGAGACCACTGTAATTTTAGCCACGACATCGAGCTACCAAAGAAGCGAGAACTGTGCAAGTTTTACATCACCGGGTTCTGTGCCAGAGCCGAGAACTGCCCCTACATGCACGATATCCTTTGGCACTCATCTCTGTTGGGATGCAGGGCTCACACCTCTTCCCTCCTCCCTGCCGACAGCGGCTGACCTTCACTGTGTGCGCGCTCCCCATGCCAGCGCTGGGCCGAGCTTTCGGCGTGTCTCAGTCTCCTTGAACCCTCATATCTGTCGTGTGGCAGAGCCACTGTCCCTGTCCTGAGGATGAGGAAGTGGACGCACACGCGGTCCATGGTTTCTTTACACAGACTCTCAAGACTAGCTGTACCCCTTGTCTTTTATCTTCCTGAGACTTTTCCAGTGGGCTGTGTAACCTTGGGTACATCATTGACCTTTATTGTTCCTGCTGAGTGAGGATCTGTAGACAACAGGCCCCACAGCCAGTGTGGTGGGGCGGAAAGCCCTCCAGAGTAGGAGTCTAGGAGTCTCTAGAACTGGGGTCTCAACTCAGGTCTGCTGCCAGCCCGCTGTGCAACCCCAGGCCGGGCACTTCACCTCTCTGGGTTTCCAGGTCTCATCGCCAAGACAAAGGGGGTTGGATTCTGCCCTGTGCCGGGGGGGGCGGGTTGGGGTCCAGGAGGCTATGCTTTTGCCTTAACATGCCGTGAACGTGATTTTCCCTGTAAGTTGTACCACACGACCGGGAACTGCATTAATGGTGATGACTGCATGTTCTCCCATGACCCCCTGACTGAGGAGACCAGAGAGCTCTTGGATAAGGTAATGTTGGCGGGAACATGGGGACACACAGCTGCCTCCAGGGGAACCAGTGGGCGTGCCTGCCCTTGACCTGGTGTGACCACCTGTCCGCCTGGCTTCTGTGCGGGACCAGACTTCCCACCTGCCTTGATCAGGAGCTGGGCTGTTTTAGGGAGGGAGTAAGGGCTGCATTCTTTTTTTTTTTTTTTTTAAA